AAAAATCACCGGGGATCGTTGAGTTGTTCTGCAACCTTAGTCGTAGGTAATGTTTTCTCCTTGTACCTTGCTTGGGTTGGGATTTTGTAAAATTTGAATGAGCCTGCATAGGTGCAAATTGTACCCCTAATTTTGTTTTTTTATAAGCCTTACACCTAATTTTTGTATGGACGGAATTTAACTGATAAATGTATGAAGTTGTCTTGAAAAACTAAGGGGGCATTCGGTAATGTGTTCATCTCGTGGATGGACTGTTTCGGTTCATGCCATGGGGTGAACATGCAGTTCGGTTGGGCATGGACGGGACCAGTCCACACTATATCGTGACTGGCCCCTATCCACACCCCAAAATATCGACAACATGTATTTATCGTGGAATGGCTCTGTCCATGGTTTATTTTTGATAATATGTTTCACATACACAGTTGAAACCCTACATCATTTTACAGTTAACCTCTCCACCGCCAAAGTGCTTTGTAGCTGTGTTCCTTTGCGAAGGGAGGTTTTCTCCACCGAAGCGCTCCTCCAGGCTTTCTCCACCGTTGGTATGTCATCTTTCTATATTGTTGTTTCTTTCTCCTTTGTTTTTGTTGTTGCTGTTGGTGGGTTTTTGTATGTATTGGTTGGGTTTTCTGTTGCTTTTGGTGGGTTTTCAATTGATTTCTGTTGGGTTTCTGTATGTATTGGTTTTTTGTATTCTGTTGATTTCTATTGGATTTTTGCATGTATTGATTTCATTGCTTTTTCTCACCATCCTTTTTCTTATGAAAAGAATAAGAAACATGCCATAGACTCATGGCAATTCTAATCCAAGACAAGATGATAAGCAAATATTAAGGTCCTCTAAATTCAACAGTGCACATATACCAAAAGCATAGTCGTAATATGCTCTGTGGTGGAAGTTGTAAACTAGCTATTGGTAGTCTAGTTGTCTATCTAAATTCAACTTATCAACCTGGACCAGCAAACTAGTTAGCTTATATGTCAAAAAGTGTGGTGTGGACCTTCAAAACGCCACAATGGGTGTGGACTAGTCCAGCCCACACAATCCAGAACAATTGTGAACTATGGTGTGGTGTGGATTGGTCCCTTCCACAAGGTGTGATATGGATCGATCCACGCCACCCAATTTCTCATCCACACTAAAGAACACCCCAAAGAAAAAGTCGCTTTTAACCATCTTTTTTTTACAATTCAATGCCACTAGGTGCTATATGCATCAAAAAGTAAAAGTCACCCATATATCTAAAAAAATTCATTTTTGTATTTTTCTAATAAGCAACTCTTGTGTGATTTGAGAAAAAGGTTTATCAATTAAACAATTCAACCAAATAATAAATGGGATATCTATCTATATATTAAAATGGAATGTGCCAAGTTGGCACTTTCTTACTTTCTAGTTTCTTCTCAAAAGCACTTGTCTTTTTCTGTTTTTTTTTTTTATTTTGAAATTTTCTAATTTTTAAATAAAATTGAATAAAATAACTCAAATGGCAAATCACCTTTTAAGACTTTTAACTCTCCTCATTAAATGACCATTAATTCTATTCCCATTAACTTTTTTTAATTATCTCTCCTCATTAATTATGTCATTAACACTTTCATTCAATAACTCATGCCACTAGTTCTCTCTCCTCTCCATATCCATAATTAGAAATAAGGTCGAGTGATGGTTTGAATAATTCAACTATTTGAGTCAATAGAAAGTTGAAAACATTAAATAAAACATCATAAAAATTATAATCCATTTATATTGCACTTGGAAATAATAAAACATTAATCAACATAGTAAACATAATTTAGTAAGATACTTAAATAAAATAAAAATAATTGATGATTATTGTTATCGATAATTTTTTTTATTAGTATAGTAAAAATAATTTAATTAATAAAAAGGAATAAGATAAATAAAAAACTAATATCAATTTAAAATTAATGTAGAACTAATACAAAATTATCTAACAATTATTAGTTTTACAATTAATTTAAAACCTACTTAAGTTACATTGAAAAAATAAAAAACATAATATAGTTAATTAAATTGAATAAGAATTAGTAAAAAAAATTAATAAAAAAAGTATTAATTTTAAGTATAGTTTAATTAATTTAAAAAAAAATTAAAAATAGGGAAAACTATAAAAACCTCAAGTTTTCTAACAATCCTATGAAATTCCCTTGCGTTTTGACCTTAACAAAAACCTCCCCTATTGTTTTGAAAGAAGGTGCAAATACCTTCCTTTGTTAACATACTAAATAAAAAATGCTGATGTAATGCATTACTTTTTTAAATACCAAATTTACCCTTATCCTACTTTATTCACATGTAATTTTACTAAAATACCTTAAAAAAGATTTGCTTCCTTTTACTTTACTTGGCCTTTTTATGTTACTACGTCTAGGAAGAATAGGGAGAATTACTCTTTGAACATTGTTTGTAAAAATAAATTAGTGGAGGGTAAATTAAATTGAAATTTTAAATTGTGTACGTTAATGCCTTAACAATGATAAGGGTATTTCAGTAACTTCAATGTCTTTGTTACTTAAAAGCCAAGGGAAATGAGGTATTTTGCACTTTTTTTTTCAAAACTATAGGAGAGGCCTTTGTTAGGGTCAAATAACAAAGGTAGTATATAGATTTAAGAGGAGGATTTTTTTTATAATTTTTCCTAAAAATAATATGAAAATAATAATAAACCAATAAAAATTAGTAAAAAATCAATATTAAGATACAAAAAGTAAATGCTTGAATTAAACTTAAATAAACATCGCTTAATTGAAAATATCATAGAGCTCCGGTCTTAGTTTTACTTATAATGAATCCCATGCATCTTACAAGTCCTGATTAATTTTTCACACTTGAATTAACGTCATTGCTATGAAAAACGATATCAAACACAATATATTAGTTGGTGTTTGGCATCGTTGCTAGGAACAATGCATTGTTTTCTAAGAGAAACAATGCTGGGCATGTGGAATTGCAAGCACCGCTTTCTTATTTTTTTGTTTGGAACCTGATGATGCGCATTTTGACAGCTCCCAACTGGCTAGTGACTTAAATGCTTGGCTGAATAATCCCTACCTGGGAGGTGGCTTGGACGCCTAGCTGAATGGTTCTTACCTAGAAGGTGGCTTGGACGCCTAGCTGAATGGTGACGAGCTGGAAAGGTGACTCTAATGCCTAGCTGAATGGTGACGAGCTGGAGAGGTGGCTTTGATGCTTAGCTGAACGGTGACGAGCTGGAGAGGTGGCTTTGATGCTTAGCTGAATGGTGACGAAGTGGAGAGGTGGCTCTGATGCCTAGCTGAATGGTGACGAGCTGGAGAGGTGTCTTTGATGCCTAGCTGACCAGTGATGAGCTGGAGAGGTGGCTCT